GGCAGTAAAGTTATCCAGTTTTACACTTTTCTTTATTGGGAAACTTTACTGCTGATTCAATTGCATAACCTTTCATTGTTCTGTTCAGGTTTCCATTTCTTCTTGGTTCGTTCTTGCTGGTTATGCATTTCCAGGAATGTATCCATTTTCTCTAGGCTTTTCAGTTTGTTGGCATATAGTTGTGCACAGTAGTCTCTCACGACCCCATGTATTTCTTTGGTATCGGTTTTAATATCTCCTTCTCTGTTTCTCTTTTTGTTTTTCTCTTTTTTCTTGTTTAATATAGTTAGCAGTTATCTTTTCCCAAAACCGTCTTCCAGTTTGAAGGATGTTTTGTTGGTTTTGTTTTTTTACTCTACCTCATTCAGTTCTGCCCTGCCTTTATCATTTCTTTCCTTCTACTACATTTGAGTTTCGGGTCTGTTCTTGCTGTTTTGGTTTCTTAAGGTGCATTGTTAGGTTGCTTGAAGTCTTTCTCTTTTTTCTTTTTTTACATGGTTTTAGATTGTTCTTTTAATGTGTTAGTCTCAGGTAAGAAATCATTCTTTTAACTGGAATTTTTGGAGGAACAAGACTTAGAAATGATAATATTTGGTGGTAATCACATAGAATAACAATTTTTGTGTTTGGGTCAGTGCTAGAGTTCATTCAGGTGGTAATCTGGCTGGCTTTGTTAGTCTTGCTTCCCAAATTAGCTTTGCTTTCTGATCCAGATGTCAGTATGTGAAATGGTCATCAGCCAAGTGCAGAAGGATACACAAGTTAGCTGCAAAACATGATGACCTATCCAGTGGAAAGATGAAACCTGACAGAGACTTGGGAGCAGGCTCAGATGCTGCCTGGGAATGCTTAGGAATCTGGGGAAAAGCACATCGGAAACTTTAAATGGGAAATGGCAAACCTCAAAAACATACAAGGTTAAAAGTACAAAAAGCTCAACCCAGCCTTCTTTTGAAAGGCAATCCCAGTCTTTGGGAATATCATAGAGAAAATCTATCAACATATACACGAACTCTCAGTGCCAGTATGGCCTTGCCAATGACACCTTGGCTCTCATGGACTGAACCATAATCAATTATATACAAATCAAATATTCCAAGTGTATAACATGCGCTCTGTGAATTGATGAGATGTGTAGCCTTGAGGATAAAAGGATAACAGGTGTATAGTCACTGTTTTCTCAGCTGGTCACATGAAAGGAGAAAGCAGTGATGCATGCAGCTGTATTTATATCTTGTATTCAATCATGAAAAAGCAGCATTCAATATCATCATCTGCCCCACCAAAAGGAAATCTGGATAGTTCTTTTGGGAATTTTAAAAGTTATCTGGATACAGGATGTAGTCCTTACTTATTTCCAGCTCTGCAGAGTTCTAAAATGCATGTATCGGGGCAAGGGGTATTTGGCATTTCTGGGAACCTTCCTCACAATTTGCTGCTAACCTAAAACCGCTTTAAGAGTCTTCAATAATGATTTTTTAAAACTAACAAACATTATGCATTGTTTTTAAAATTCAATACCAATCAGTAAATGTGTTTTGAAATTTGTGAAGCCCAGGTAGTTAAGACATACACTCATTCAGTTCTGCCCTGCCTGTATCATTTCTTTCCTTCTACTACATTTGAGTTTCGGGTCTGTTCTTGCTGTTTTGGTTTCTTAAGGTGCATGGTTACGTTGCTTGTTTGAAGTCTTTCTCTTTTTTAGACGTAGCTGTTAATTGCTATAAATTGCCCTCTTAGTGCTTCTTTTGTCACTTTCTATAGGGGTTGGTTTCTTTCCCATTTTCATTTGTTTCAAGATATTTAAATTTTTTTTCTTAATTTATTGATTGGCCCAGTTCATTCAGGAGCATGCCATTTAATTTCCATGTGTTTGCACAGTTTCCAAAATTTTTGTCCTTGTTACTGATTTCTGTATTTATTCCATTGTTGTTGAGAAGATACTTGATTCCTAGGAGTTTGTAAACTCAGTAGATGGTCTATTCTGGAGAATTTTCTATGTGCTAATGAGAAGAATGTGTATTCTGCAGCTTTTTAATGAAATGTTCTGTAAGTGTCTGCTAGGTCCCTATGGTCTGCAGTGCAGGTTAATTTTGATGTTTTTTTGTCGATTTTCTGTTGAGATCTTTGCAATGCTGAAAGTCAGGTGATGGAGTCCTCATCTTCTATTGTACTGGGCACTATCTCTCTTTAGTTTCAGTGATGTTTGCCTTATAGATCTGTGTGCTCAGGTGTTAAGTGCATATACCTTTATGACTGTTGTATACTCTTGCTGAATTGATCCTGTTATTATTATATAATGACCTTCTTTTTCTCTTTTATTTTTTTTTGACTTAAGATTTATTTTGTCTGGTAGAAATATAGCTGCTCCTGCATGCTTTTGGTTTCCATTTGCAGCTGTGTAGTTACAATGTCCTTTCCTTCGGGTTCCACTATCATTTTCTTCACTATCCTTAAAACCCTTCCTACCAGCCTCTTCGAGGACCACCAGGCTTCCACTCACAGTCGCTTTAAGACTTTCTGTTTTCATGCTTATATGACAAGTCTATTCAAAACTGTTGCCAGCAGTCTCCAGTTACTCTAGATATGCTTATGGGGAGGGGAGTGCATTCTGAATTGCCTGACCAACTTAATTACCCTAATGAGGCTTATACTCAGATAACCTCCTTGGCGATGTGTGCCTGGAGGCAGTTACCATCATCCAGTGTTAGGATGGAGGAGCTTGCTAAAATTCGTCAGGGATCTGACGAGCCTTTTCAGGAATTTGTCTCATGCCTCCTCCAGGCTGTTACACGCCAGGTTGGCAATGATGAAGCTGGATCTCTATTGGTGAAACAATTGGCTTCTGAGAATGCTAATACGGCATGCCAGGCATCCATGAGGCCCTTTAAACGTAAAGGCACCTTAACTGATTATATTTGCCTCTGTGCTGATATCAGACCTGCTTATCAACAAGGTCTTGCTCTAGCAGCTGCTCAAGCAGGTGGTATGTCTATTGCCACCTTTTTAAAACAGAGACCCAACCAACCTAGATCACCCCTTAAATTTTTTCATTGTGGCAGTCTGGGCCATATGGCTAAACAGTGTCAAGTTCCTTTTGCTCCACAGCCTCAGATGTTAGCTTTGCCAGCACCCCCAGATCCTACTCCTACTTCTTCTTCTCCTGTCACCCCATCACCCCAACCACATCAACCAGGTTTGTGCCCTCGCTGTCACCGTGGCACCCATTGGGCCAACGAGTGCCACTCTAAGCATGATGCCCAGGGCAATCCTCTCCCTCAGCAGTTGGGAAACTCCCAGCGGGGGCAGTCCCAGCCCCCAGCAAAATATCAGGACACCTTATGTTCAAGCTCCTGTCCTGAGTTTGAGCGCAAATCCGTTTCTCAACTCTGCAGAGCAACACCGAACAGCACAGGACTTGACCTCTGTGTCACCGCCTGACAGGTATTAAGCCCTGACATGGGACCCCAAGCCATCCCTACGGGCATTTTTGGCCCTCTTTTCTCAGGATATATTGGTCTTATTTTAGGTCATAGTAACTGTTCCTTGAGAGGTCTGCATGTATTACCTATTGTTGTTGATGTTGATTACTCGGGAGAAATTAAGGTGTTTGCTTGGTCGCCTACAGGTGTTTTCACGCTGAGTCCTGAATTGTTGTTTGCTCAACTGCTTCTCACTCCTATTGATACCTCAGCTGACTCTCAATTGTCGACTCAAGTTATAGGTAACAAAGGTTCTGAGCCTTCGTCTTATGCTTACTGGGTTCAAGCCATTTCATCTACCAGACCTGAACTTACCATTAAAATTAATGGCAAAACATTTAAAGGCCTCCTGGACACAGGGGCTGATGTGTCTGTAATTTCCCATAAATATTGGTCTTCTCAATGGCTTACAACTACTGCCATGACTTCTCTACAAGGCATAGGAATGACTAACAATCTTATGCAATCTGCAAGTTTATTAACTCAGCAGCGTGGAAATTTCAGGGAGATTTTTCTTTGTCATCGTTTAGTGTGCTCTCTTATTTCGTGTAAAGCAGCAATGAATTACAAGACTGTGCTACTTACTAAATTAAGGCATTTTTATTCAGAAAAGTGGTACGGATCATGCCATTCAACTTTTATACTGGGAGATGTGATTGCTTCTTAACGCCAAGTGTCATTACTCCTTGAAATGTAATTCAAATTAACTTAAGACATTTGCAGTTCAGCAAGAGGCTTGTGGTGCTGGAATCCACTTTTTTTCAAGATTTATTAGAGTTTTATTTTCAGAGTCTTATTATGGAAGCCATGTCTTGACTGGGGCCCAAATAATTTAATATGACACCCCTAAAACTTCCATGCAATTTATGGAGAATGACATTGGGTTAAAGGACTAAGAGACTTGTGCTAAGGGGGTGACTTAGAGCCATTTTAAGGAGGAAAGCCATGAAATGATCAAAGAAAAACAGAAGTCTAAGATCAAATCCAAATGTTATGTGGAAAAAATGATGAAAGTAAAGGATATATTTTTGTGAATTCTGGTGGTTTTAACTTTGTTTTTAATTTTCTGAGTAATCCAATGGTCTGTTTTTTATGAATCTACAAGAATATAGGTAATATTTTATTGCAACTGAATTCATTTCAAAAATGATTAGTTTTGTGTTAGAACATTCTCAGTCTACTTTCTTTTATCTTTTTTTCTTTTCTGCCCATGCTAGCATGCAGTGGCACTGTCTCTGGTCACTACAACCTCCACCTCCCCGATTCAAGCCATTCTCCTGCCTCGGCCTCCTGAGTAGCTGGGATTACAGGCACCCCCCCACCACACCCAGCTAATTTTTGTGCTTTTAGTAGAGATGGGGTTTTTCCATGTTGGCCAGGCTTGTCTCAAACTCCTGACCTCAGGTGATCCATCCACCTCGTCCTCCCAAAGTGCTGGGATTACAGGTATGAGCCACCACACCTGGCCTCTGTGTACCTTCTTCATTACCAAAGTATATTGTTTTTTGACTCATGCAGGATGACCTTACTGAAGCACAGAAAACTGCACCTTCACGATGTCCAGATCTGGACGCAGATAATGAAGTTCTTCGGCAGACATTATTCTCTGTGAAAGCATTAAAAAAGAAATGTCAAACACTAGAGGAGGAGAAGAAGCAGTTGAAGCAGGAAATAGTAAATCTCAAAATTCATATGGAAAGAAAAATGTTAGAACGTGGTGAAGCTGAACAGTATGAGGTGCCGATTGAAGAAAGATCAAGACGGATAGTAGAAGCGTTAAAGGAAATCAGTCTCTCCTTGCAGGTTGGTTTAATTGTCTGCAATGTGCTTTCATTCGTTTCGCTGCAGATTCTATCTTGGATATATCCATCGTATATGTTTTCTGTACTTTTCTTACAGCAATTTGTTTGGCAGACTTCTAGAAGGAAGGTGATATCTGTTTCTCCCTTTAAATATTTTAGTTTCCATCATTCTTCTAACTAAATTGATCTTCCATAATAAGAATTCTCACTAGAAAATCATTGATTACTAAGGCCAGTATGCATAAAAGAAGACTAATAGAAAAAGTAAAAAAAAGAAAAAATTGTGATTGAGAAATTATACCATACTCTTGAACTGCTTTTAAGTTACATGGTTCCATTTTAAAATCTTAACTTGTTTCTGTCATTGTTTGGAGGATTGTTGTACAACTCAGAATCAATCGTTAATTCAGTTGATACTGATGATAAATATGTGAAGCTTGAGCTTCTTTCTTTCTTCACGTACTTAAAATTGTTGTCTGAATAACTGACTCCAAACAAAAGGAAACAAATGCACAGTAATTATTCAGGTTATAATTACTTTAAAATGTTCCCTTTTAATTAATTTTAGACTCAAGCAGCACCTCAGGAACAGTTAGAACAGTTAGTGCAAAGGGTGAATGATATTACCGCAGAAAAAACCCAGATGGAACTCACAATCAAAGACCTGCAATCTGAGCTCTCCAGAGTAAAAACTTCGCAAGCCGAAAATAAAATCGAATTGGAAAGATATAAGGAATACCGCCTAAACGAAGTAAAATTTGCAGCAGCCTTTTCAAATGAACTGAGAAGGCAAGTCAGTATACAGAATCATAGCAAATAAGTTAAGCTCATTAATTTGCCATCCAAAGCATAACTTCCAGTGAGACAGGTTCATGAGGTGTGCGGGAAGTGAAAGCTAACTAGACTGTACAATTTTTGAATATTGTAAATGATAAATAGTAAATGAACTTAAACTTTAAGTAAAATAGAAAATAGTAAATGAACTTGACCTTTAAAATCTTAGTCCAGGACAGTTCATGTCACTCCTGTTGTTGGTTTTACGTGGCTCCCCCCAACCCCTTAATATTCTTGTATAGTTAACCCAATCTATTAGGGATTCCGCTAAATATTTGTGAAGCTTCATAATTTAGACAGTGATATCATGATAAAAATTGTCAGTATTCCCTTAATTCAAAATATTAATGAATTTAATTAATTTTTGGAAGATGGCAGCTGAAACCTTGGGTCAAGTACGACGACTCTGGGCACATTCTGGCACTGAGTAAATTCCCTTTGCTTGACTGTGATCATTAGAGGGCTCCTTGAGAAGAAACGTCATGTATAGTTTTTCCACTCCACGTAAAGACACACTTGTGAAGTACAGAATGATTAACATAGGGTTGAAGGGACGTATTACTAAGTGATTAAAAAAAAAAAAAGCACCTCGGTCAGCCTGAGGGGGTGTGTGGAAGACAGAAAGGGCAGGCCCCACCTCTGATGCACGGGCCACAGCGGTAGTTGATGCTGCTTTAGCTCTCTTCGATCTCAGCCATCTTATTCTCCCCTAGGGAAAGTCTCCTTGAGTGATTCCTCAATGCCAAATGCTCAATTTTTTCCAGATAATGGGTGAAATATACAAGAGTGGTAAAAACAGTTGTTTGAAAATCTCTTTGACTGATAGTTTTTTAAAAATCTCAACTAGTTTACTCAATACAAATATTTCTAGCTTTTATTTTTTTCTTTTAGCTTTTTAATTGTATATATTTAAAGAGTACAACATGATTTATTGTATATATTTAAGGAGTACAACATGATTTCTAGGGGGATTTCCAACCAACAAGTAGTTGTTCCCCCTAGAAATAGATGTACTTCTTTAGACCAATGTTAAAACTATAACTGGATACAGTAGGCGTGCTCTAACACATTTTCAGAGTTAAAATATGGTTTAGAGTTATTCCATTTACTCTTACGGCAACTTTTGGAAGACTTGAAGTCATTTAGGAATCATTTAGGAAAAAATGAAATACTAAGCATTTGTCTTTTGTAACCTTCATAGAACCATGGAGATGACAGCAGAGGTCAGTGCCCAGCTTACTGCGGAGAAAGAGAAGACCAGATATCCAGCCACTGCTTCTACTACAAGGCCATTCCTAGTGTCACCTTCTGTTGGAAATCTTGGTGAAGGTCTCAACAGAAGACATATTGGAAGAGAAAGCAGGTCTTCAGATGAGAGCATGGAGAGCTTCATGTTGAGGGTTAGTTATATTATCTTTTTTCCTTTGGTGTTTAGATTTCTGATATAATTCTGGCATGTTACTTGCTGAAATACTCAGTTGTTTAATTGTGTTGTGTGTGGTAAGCAAAGGTAATAATTATCTGTTCATAAAGAGGAGACAGAAATTTTAGTGATTTTTGAATCCCCGGAGCTCTCATTCACAGGAGATTACTCCTTTGTTAACTTGATTCAGTAAAGGTAACCAAACTGACACATTTTACATTTCTTTAAAAACTACAATTAAGTTAGATTTTAACAAAGGTATACTTTGATGTGCGTGGTCTTGCTAATTGATTTTATGTTTGCCTGGGGTTCACTTTTAAAGGGTTTAGTGTGCCTGGGGTCACTTTGAGAGTTTTTCTGCATCATCATGACAAGGAGACCCAGGCATCTAGGATCACCTTCCCCTTGAGCTCCACACTGCATTTCATTAGGAAAAAAAGGATGGCTGACTGGCCTCCTAAATCACGTTCCTGTAAATAGCAGGCATGGTGTGGGGGAATCTCTCCAGAAGACATTGCTTTTACTTAAACAAGATCAAAACCCCATCCCACTCCTTTATCGACCAAGACCCTTTCATATGTGCTTTCTAAAACTGTAAACCCAAGACCCTTTCACTGGTAATTTCTAAGGCTGGAAACCTAAGATTCTTTCATGTGTAATATCTGGAGTATAAGCCTATATTAAGGCAGAGCGTCTCTTTGTTAGGAGAGTGTAGTCATTTAGACAAATTGTCACCTGGCTCCTGGCCGTAATAATAATAATAATAATAATAATAGTAGTAGTAATAAAAACACCTCTTCCTTCGCAGTTCAGTGTTTGAGAGGTCTGATTCTCGAGGCCATTCCTGCTTCAATCTCAGGTTTTCTACCCCTCATCATATGTGAATGATTGGTATCCACACACTAAGCACACATGGATGTTTATTATTTAAAAAGATCCAATGTGAATACTTTTAATACATTGTATAAACCTGCAACACTTGATTAATCTCTATTCTTTAAGTTGAAAGTTTTGTGATTTTCTTACATGAGTACACCTGTAATTGCTATTGCTCTTACAGCATATAAATCTCACTAACCCAACCAGGCCTCCCTCTAGTGTCTGCTCCTAGGGTAGGTCCAACTAGGTAGTTTTGTCCCCTAGCCCTCCACACCCAGATCACTGGACTGTTAGTGCTTTCAGGCTGTGGGCTCCCTCAGGCAGAGGCCGTGGACAGACAGGTTACACCCTTCCTTGGCAGGTCTTGTAGAACAGGGTCCCTAACCCCCAGGTGGCAGACCAGTACTGGTCTGTGGCTTGCTAGAAACTGGGCCGTACAACGAGAGGTGAGGGAAGGGCTGGTGAATGAGCATTACCACCTGAGCTCCACCTCTTTTCACATCAGCACTGGTATTAGATTCTCACAGGAGCACAAACCCTGTGTGAATTGTGCATGCAAAGGATCTAGGTTGTGTGCTCTTTATGAGAATCTAATGCCTGATTTGAAGTGGAACAGTTTCATCTCAAAACCATCCATACCCCCTACATCTGTGGAAAAATTGTTTTCCACTAAACCAGTCCCTGGCACCAAAAAGGCTGGGGTCTGCTGTTGTAGAGGGAGGCACACCTGGCTCCCACAGTGGCAGATGAACTCGGGCCTTCTTCTTCTCGGCATTCTGAGATAGGAAGCTCCTCCTCTGCTTGAGCTCAGTCCACAGATACCAGCTCAGTATACTTGAGCAGTGTGCTTGAACCCTGGGGGTATCAAGACCAGGTTCATGACTTTGTCTTCTGGTCCCATGGGGTTGAGCATTGGCTGTGCTGGGGTTGGGGGCTGAACTGCTCCCAGGCCTCTGGAAAAGCACTCAGATGGGGCAGTGGAGGCTGCGCTGTGTGCTTACTCTTGAGTGAGTAGCCAGGCAGGTGCCTTGGGAGGGGCTGATGGACAAGAAGGTACACAAACCAGATATGCCACAGTCCCATGGTTAATGTGACCCTGCTGTCTACTGACCTGGCAGTAAGCAGGAGCTAGAGTCACTCTGAGCAAGATGGAGAGCCTTGCCGGATGGGTGCCTGTGGTTGTGTTTTGCTGCAGCTGCACCAGATGCAAAACCTTCTGGGCTGTATGCAGGTTTGAGCTTTGCCTCTGCCTATTCTCCAGGCAGTTCTTCTTGCCAATTTAGATGTTTGTGTGGTCTGGGGATCTCTTGTAGCTAGTATCCCAGAGTTCCTGTGTGGGTGTGTGGTGTTGTATAGTTCCTTCATTCACTCCCTTCTTAGTTTCTGGACTGGGGAGTAGTCCTAGTGCTTGGTGACCCTGTGCAGGCTTCCCAGATTTCTTCTTCAACGTTGATGCCTGCATTACTTACCTCATTTCAGTGTTTTCTCTCCAAAGACCTGCTAAAAGTGTGATAATTTACTTGATATTCCTGGCTGCATGTGGTAACCATCTTGTCTCCCCCTAAAAACATCAGAAATTGGCATTTAATAGAGTTTGCATTGAATTGGTAGACCGCTTTCAGGAATAAGGCCATGTAACCAATATTCTTCCAGTCCATGAGCATGCAGTATCTTTTTTTTTTTTTTTTGAGACGGAGTTTCGCTCTCGTTACCCAGGCTGGAGTGCAATGGCGTGATCTCGGCTCACCACAACCTCCGCCTCCTGGGTTCAGGCAATTCTCCTGCCTCAGCCTCCTGAGTAGCTGGGATTACAGGCATGCACCACTATGCCCAGCTAATTTTTTGTATTTTTAGTAGAGACAGGGTTTCACCGTGTTGACTGGGATGGTCTCGATCTCTTGACCTCGTGATCCACCCACCTTGGCCTCCCAAAGTGCTGGGATTACAGGCTTGAGCCACCGCGCCGGGCCCAGCATGCAGTATCTTTCCATGTGTGCGTCTGCTACAGTTTCTTTCATCAGTGTTTTGTAGTTTTTTTGGTAGCGGTCTTTCATCTCTTCGGTTGACTTTATTTCGAGGTATTTTATTATTTTGTAGCTTAAGTAATTGGACTGCCTTCTTGATGTCTTTTTAGGCTAGTTGATTATTCGTGTATAGAAAGGTTACACGTGTCATTGGCATTATTTTTTGTATGCTGATGTTGCAGCCTGCACCTTTGCTGAATTCTTTTATGTGCACAGAGAGACAGTGTGACTTTCTGTTTTCCAATTTGGATCCCCTTGATTTCTTTGACAATTTCTGTGACTGTGTCCTTCAGGGATATTGACATGTAGTTGCCTTTTGTTGTGTGTGTCCTTCTCTGGGTTTGGCCTTATAGTAATACTGACATTTAGAATGAAGTAGGAAGATTTTGGAGTAATTTGCAAAACATTGCTGTTAGTTTTTCCTTAAAAGTTTAATAGAATTCAGCAGTAAAGTTATCCAGTTTTACACTTTTCTTTATTGGGAAACTTTACTGCTGATTCAATTGCATAACCTTTCATTGTTCTGTTCAGGTTTCCATTTCTTCTTGGTTCGTTCTTGCTGGTTATGCATTTCCAGGAATGTATCCATTTTCTCTAGGCTTTTCAGTTTGTTGGCATATAGTTGTGCACAGTAGTCTCTCACGACCCCATGTATTTCTTTGGTATCGGTTTTAATATCTCCTTCTCTGTTTCTCTTTTTGTTTTTCTCTTTTTTCTTGTTTAATATAGTTAGCAGTTATCTTTTCCCAAAACCGTCTTCCAGTTTGAAGGATGTTTTGTTGGTTTTGTTTTTTTACTCTACCTCATTCAGTTCTGCCCTGCCTTTATCATTTCTTTCCTTCTACTACATTTGAGTTTCGGGTCTGTTCTTGCTGTTTTGGTTTCTTAAGGTGCATTGTTAGGTTGCTTGTTTGAAGTCTTTCTCTTTTTTAGACGTAGCTGTTAATTGCTATAAATTGCCCTCTTAGTGCTTCTTTTGTCACTTTCTATAGGGGTTGGTTTCTTTCCCATTTTCATTTGTTTCAAGATATTTAAATTTTTTTTCTTAATTTATTGATTGGCCCAGTTCATTCAGGAGCATGCCGTTTAATTTCCATGTGTTTGCACAGTTTCCAAAATTTTTGTCCTTGTTATTGATTTCTGTATTTATTCCATTGTTGTTGAGAAGATACTTGATTCCTAGGAGTTTGTAAACTCAGTAGATGGTCTATTCTGGAGAATTTTCTATGTGCTAATGAGAAGAATGTGTATTCTGCAGCTTTTTAATGAAATGTTCTGTAAGTGTCTGCTAGGTCCCTATGGTCTGCAGTGCAGGTTAATTTTGATGTTTTTTTGTCGATTTTCTGTTGAGATCTTTGCAATGCTGAAAGTCAGGTGATGGAGTCCTCATCTTCTATTGTACTGGGCACTATCTCTCTTTAGTTTCAGTGATGTTTGCCTTATAGATCTGGGTGCTCAGGTGTTAAGTGCATATACCTTTATGACTGTTGTATACTCTTGCTGAATTGATCCTGTTATTATTATATAATGACCTTCTTTTTCTCTTTTATTTATTTATTTTTTTGACTTAAGCTCTATTTTGTCTGATATAAATACAGCTACTCCTGCATGCTTTGGGTTTCCATTTGCGTGGAATATCCTTCCATGTTTTCCCTTGCAGTCTATGGTGTTTACAGGTGAAATGAGTTTCTTGTGGCCAACGTATCATTTAGTCTTTTTGTAATCCATTCAGTCAATCTATATCTTTAGTTGGATGAATTTAAACCACGTATATTCAAGGTTTTTATTGATAGGTGAAGACTTACTCCTTTCATTTTATTGTTTAGTGATTGTTGGATCTATCCTTGGTTCCTTTCTTCTTCTTCTACTGTTTACCTCTATAATATGGTGGTTTTCTGTAGCAATGTTTGATTCCTTTTTCTTTTGCTTTTCTGTACCTGCTCTACCAGTGAATCTTAGCGTTTTTTTATTTTCATGGTGGTAGACACTGTCTTTTTGCTTCCAGATTGAGGACTCCTATGAGCATTTCTTGTAGGACTAATCTAGTGGTGATGCATCCCTTCAACTTTTGCTT